TTTGGTCTGTTAGAAGAAAGTGCCTCCCAAAATTTTAAAGAAAGAAAAACTTACATATGTACAAAAATAAGGTTTAATACGATGAAGGGATGGAATATGACTGTAAAGATGAAAATTACAAAGATTTTATAAAAGGACTTGTTAAGAAGTTGGTTGAAAAAAGAAGAGGATTTAAAAAAAAAAAAGGAGAGAATGTGATCAGGCAGGAGACTAGAACAAAGCCATACATTAGAGATTTAGGGTATATTTTGGTCTGTTAGAAGAAACTGTATCCCAAAATTTTAAAGAGAGAACAATTTATATATATATACCAAAAATAAGGTTAACTACTATGAAGGGATAGAAAAAGACTTTTCCAGATGGTGGTTGCTTTTCTGTTCAGAGAGTTGCTGCTAGTCTTTTCTTCGATCTCCTGTTGAGTTCCTAGGTGTTCAGAATGGTTTGATCCCTATCTAGCTGAATTCCTGGGACCAGACGAAATTTAGGTCTCCTACTCCTCTGCCATCTTGCTCCTCCCCCCATCTATCAGTTATTTTTTGAATGCATTTCAAAGTAAATTGCAGACACTTCTCCTGAAATACTTCAGCATTCATATCACTAAAATTCAAAATTCATTCCCAGATTTTTTTTTTTGAGGTAAAATTTATAGGTGAAGAAATACATAAATCTTAAGTGTATATTTGCTGTTTTGACAAATGCACACACCTTTGTAATCCAAACACCTGTCATGATACAGTACATTACCATCTCCTTTCTACCCCTTCCCCATCAGTCTTGGCCAGCCCCCTACCCTACGGTAACTCCCAGAGGCAAACATCTCCTGTACCTACCCTTGTTTTCCACTATTGATTTTTCCCCCACATATAGTATGTATGTTCTCTCTGCGTCTGCTTAGTTCATTCTGCATAATATGTTTAGATTCATCCATGTTGCTGTGTGTGTTGATAATCCATTCCTTTTTATTAGCAACTAGTATTCCATTGAATAAATGTACCACAGTGAGTTTACCCACTCTTCTATAGATTGATACCTGGACAGTTTCCAAGTTGTGGATATTATGAATAAAGCAGCTTAAAATATTCTAGTATGCTTTTTTCTGCTTATGTGCATGCATGTATGTGTATGTGTGTGTGTGTGCACATGCATTCATAAATGTGTGCACCTGTGCATGTACTTAGGTTTATATGTTGTCATCTCTCATGGATAAATACTGCCCAGGTGTGGGATTGCTGGGTCATAAGGTTAATGTATGTTTAAGTTTGTAAGAAATGACCAGACCTGCCTCTAGGAAATGTTCCTTGCTCTTAAAAAGAGACCCCCGGGTAGAAACAAAACAAAGAAAACCCTTCCTTTGGGCAAGGTTGTGTCTAGATAAGATGCCCAGACATCTGCAGCCCTGAGGACAGAGCTGACACATGGAAAGGAACAGGGTCATCGGTGACAAATTAGACCTTGGTGTCACCAGCTGCGGGGCTGCCTTCCTTGGAGTTAGGTGAGCTAATAACATTCCTTGTTATTTAAAACAGTTTGAATCAGAGATTCTTTTATTTTTTTATTTTATTTTTTAAAGATTTTATTTATTCATTTGACACAGAGAGAGTACAAGCAGGGGGAGGGGCAGAAGGAGAGGGAGAAGCAGACTCCCCGCAGAGCAGGGAGCCTGATGCGGGGCTTGATCGCAGGACCCCGGGATCATGACCTGAACCAAAGGCATATGCTTAACCCACTGAGCCACCCAGGCATCCCTGAATCAGAGATTCTTTTAAAAAAATGTATAGAGTTGTGCTCACTTCGGCAGCACATATACTAAAAGTTGGAACGATACAGAGAAGATTAGGATGGCCCTGAGCCAGGGTGACGCGAAAATTCATGAAGTGTCCATATTTTTGAGATGTGCACTGGGTGTCATATGGAAGTGATGAATCATTGAATTCTACTCCAGAAACCAACATTGCACTGTATGTTAACGGACGAAATTTAACTTAAAAAATGTATAGAGTAAAAATATTTTTATAGGGGCGCCTGGGTGGCTCAGAAGGTTAAGCGTCTGCCTTCAGCTCAGGTCACGATCCCAGGGTCCTGGGATTGAGTCCCACATCGGGCTCCCTGCTCCTTGGGAGCCTGCTTCTCCCTCTGCCTCTCTCTCTCTCTCTCATGAATAAACAAATAAAATTTAAAAAATAATATTTTTATAAACTACTGAAGTATCACATACATACAGAAAAGTGCATACAGAATAATTCCCACAAACCGGATATAGGTTAGTGACTGGCCTCCAGGTGGAGGAACAGCGTGACCTGTAACAGGGCAGCCTCGGGGAAATGGGCCATACCACATGCCATCAAAATTACAAGTGCAAACATAACAGTTGAGGCCCAGTTGAGTTCACTGGGGCATCCCACCAAACGTGTAAGGAGTGCCCCACAAAAACGAAGTCAGACTTCCCCTTGAGAAAGCCCCCTCCCCTCTCCTTGTCTCCCCAGGCCCCCCACCTCCTCCTGTAGCCACTCCGTCCACACGGGTTTCGCTCCCATAGTCTCTCTCCAAATCCCGCTCTGCTTGCCCAGGTCGTTGGGCAAGGCCGAGCCGTCGCGTTAGCTGAAAGAGCCACCACCGAGTGTCCCTCAGCACATCCTGGGGTGCACGGTGAGCAGGAGGGGGACACCACTGTCACAGAGTCGCCCCACCGCGCACCCCTGGTCCCCATGGGACCGGCCGAAACGGGAGAGGCCAGGAAATAAGCCGTGTGACTTTGGACACATGTCTACTGGGCCTCGGCTGTTATTTTATTTGTGAAGTGGGTCAAATGACGGTAGCTACTTCCTAGGGCCGTTCTGGGGGTGGAACGTAAAGGGCTTCCATGTATCAAGGGGGCTTGTGTTCTGGGGTTTAGGGGATAGCGTCTTTCCAGTTTCCACCCTACGCAGGAAGGGATGCTTCCCACGGAGTGCCATCAGCGGGAGCACCGAAGATCACCCATGTCACTGGAGCTAGACCCAGAAGGGGCCACCTGCTGGGTCCCCATGCAGAGCTGCCTGCAGAGCTCAGCTGGCCCCACACGGGGGCATCAAGGCGTCAACTGGCCTTGTGCAGGGTTTGTGAGGGAAAGCGTATTCTCGTGGAGACCTCAATCCAATTGTAAGACCTCCAATTAGAATACACTTTGAACAACTACATATGAACACAGAGTGAGAATAAGCTACAAATGGAGTTTCAGGTTTTTGGTCTAGGATGCACCACCGCTAAGTGGACCTCAGGTGGAAATAAAAATGTAGTGGGGGGGGGCGGGTGTGCATCATGGAGACTGGAAGACCATTAGCCAACTGTAGATAAAGAAAAATTTGGACAAATCAGAACAGAGTCAATAGCTAAAGCTTCTCTTCTCAGAAACTGACCTTTAGAGATACTTATATTAATTGGATATTAAATCATACACCAGTATTCCCCAAAGTTCATCCATTAGTGCATAGCTGACATGATTTTTCCCCATAATTATCACTTGTACTATTTTTAATTAGCATTTTTCCTTCAATGAGTTCTTTAAAAAAATGGCTTTAGCCTCACTCTATAATTTACAACTCTAATTCACATCAAAGCCACTACATAACCATCAAAAGAAAAAGTGTCCACTCTGTGCCACTGAAAAGCCATCACCCTTTGCAATCGATTTTCTCCTGTCATGGACTTTGCAGATAGTGGCTCACTCCCCAGCCAATCTCAGCAAGCCGTGTTCATAAGGTCCTGAGCTAAAGAATGTCTCCAGAGACGTTTTGCAGAGAAACCCAAAGCTTGGTTCTCTTCAACCAAACCCACGGCTCTCACACAGTTCCCCGTCTCAGCTAAGGTCGATGGCGCTCTACCGGGTCTTCAGCCCAGAAGGCAGTGAAATCACTCTTGCCTCCCATCTTTCTCCCACCCTTGTAAGCCCGACAGGAAATCCTGTTGGCTCTGCCTTCAAACACACCCCTGTTCGGACCGCTTCGCATCATCTCCATCTCCAGCCCCTCATCCACACCTTTTGGTTGGGTGTCGTGAAAGCCTCTACCTTGTCTTTCTGCTTCTCAACCCACTTCTCTGCAGCGTGTGTTCCCGATGGAACCAGGGTGACAGATACACTGGAAAGCTCTCCAGAGGCCAGATCGTGCCACCGCTCTCCCCGTAGATGTCTGACGATGTCCCATCCACAACACAGCAACGTCAAAAGTCCTTCAGTCCTTCCTGACCGCCATCCCCTGCACGTCCACCCCACGCGTCTTGGCCCCACATCAGCTGCTCCTGTCTTGGTCTGTCTGCTCAGGCCACCCTGGCCATCTGCTCCTTCTTCCACCCAGCAAGCATATTCTTGTCTGGGGATCTTTACATGTGCCCCTCCTTTTTCCATGAATGCTTTTCCTCGGGCATAAACACGGCTTGTCCTTTCTCCCACTTCCTTCAGGTGCCTATCAGAGAGGGCTTCTCTGATTACACCATGTTCAGCAACCTTCGCTCACCTCTTATTTTGCTTTCTTCTTCTTAGCATGTATCACCTAACAGATCACATTTAATTTTATTTTCTGTCTGTCTCCTCCCATTTAGAATGGAAGCATCATGGGAAGATGCTTAAGACTTTGTTTTGGCCTAAAAGAGTAGGCTTGGCAAATAGTAGGCATTTAAGAAATATATGAATAAATACTGGGCTGCAGAAATACTATCTGACATTACAGTCAAGGGTCTGGTGCCCAGAAAGAGCAGAACCAGGTAGGGAGCACCACCTGCCCCAGATCCTAGTTCTCTACCTTACAGTTATAGTTATGCTTCCTGTTACATGGGTAGCGTTCTTCCTGATTCACATATTCATTCATTATTATGTAATGATATTACATGGAGCTACTTTCTCTGCTACATGGGCTGCTGCCCATTACATGAGTCACTGAATCAAGCCAGTAAGATCTTTAAAATGTACTCAGTTGAATTTTGTTTTTTGAGCAGTTCCAAGAGCGAGTGCTCCAGGAAACAAAGAAGTGACACATGGCCTTTGTGACCCAGACTCAGAAGTCACATGGCAGAGTTTCCATGTTCTCTGGTTGTCATTATGGGCAGTCACAAGCCCACCCAGCTTTCGGGGGGAGATGACACAGATCCCCACTTTTCCACCAATGGAAGGTCAAAGAATTTGCAGCTGTGTTTTTGAGCTGCCTCAGGGAGGTATGACTCAGTTAAGGGGGGGGAGTAATTGGGAAAGTATTTTGAGGATAAAAGTTTGAGCAGGGGTAGGACAGGGCAGGTACGTTTAGGAACCATCAAGAGACCCATGTGCCCAAATGGGAGACTGGCAAGGAGAAATGTCAAAGCCAAACGCAAAGGCTTGGCTAGGTGAGTGCGAATACCTGGTTTAGGAGTCTAGTCTTTATTCTGTAGACAGGTGGTGTTTAAACCGGTTTGCTTACATATCCCTAAGGGAATTTTGAAAAACACATTTTTAGGCTTGTATCCATTTTTTTCCCCATAATTTAAAAGTAATTGCAAAGGTCAGCAGCTCTATGTGGTCATTCAGGCTGATGGAGGTTTTCCACCTTCTTCTTTCTGTGACAACCAAGGTCACTGCGGATACCTCCCTCCAAATCTGTGCTGCAGTCTGGAGGAGCTCATGTGGGAAGGCGTTATGGGCCAAGGATGCATTGGTGCAGGTCACTTCCACTCACTCTCTGTTGGCCAGACCTCAGTTAATGGCCACTCCTGATGGCAGGGGACACCAGGATGGAGCGAGGAACACAGAGTTTGTGGAAGAGCTAGTGGTCCTCCCTACAGAGCATCTATTCTTACAGCATTCAGCACATTTACTGGCATTCGGGAAGCATTCAACACAGAGCCTGCTGCTATTAACACTATTATTATGATTTATTATTATTACACGTTCAGTCTGCAGGTTGTGTTCTGTGCCCCAGTGGATGTGCACTCCCTACGCTGGAGCTCAGAGGCCCCCAAGGTAGATGCACTTTAGGCAAGGGAGGCCCCGGAGCCTTGGAGCCCAATTCGTAGCTCATAAACCTCAGCCGGCAACTCGGCCGCCCGGGTCAGTGGGCTGCAGACGGAACCTGTGCTAAGTCCTGGCCCAGCTCCCCATGCGGCTGTTTGTCCATCTCCTGCCTGCCTTCAACAATCCACCGCCCCCACCCCACCCTCCTCCCTGCCTTGCACCCAACTTCTACCTCCAGGAGTCCCAGGGTGGACTCCGAGACGCCTGGAGAAAGCCAGGGACTGGCCCTGGGCCGAGAGGTAAGTTTCCGTCCCCGTAGCTGCTGGAGAAGCTGCCCCAGCTTTAAGAAGTCGAGGCTTTTGGGCTTGCTGTGTGGGGACATGGGTGGAATGTCGCCGACTTCCAAGAACGGATCGAACATTCAGTCTTTGCTTTCTTTTCCCTGGCGCTGATACCTGGGCCCCAACAGTTGGAAGAAAAAACTTTTCCCTTAGGGATTCTAGAAGCCACGGAGACTAACACAAGGGCCACAATGCAGGAAACGGACGTTTGGTTTTGTCCTGGGAAGGCCCCTGGGGACAATGGAAACACTGCTTTATTTGCTTCCCTAAACTCCCAACTTTAAACGCCTACTATCAATTTCTTTATGTAGTTACAACCTTTCTAGACAAGTGGGCCATCCCCTGGTCCAGAGCTTAACTCCTTCATTCAAAATGACCCAAACTCACATCTCCGGGCGGATCTGTCCTGCCGAGTCTCTGCTGGGTGCTGGGTGGTGGGTGCGGTGGAGACAAAATGTACTCTTTTCCAAATCAAACAGAAGAAGCAGGTGTGCCCGAGCGCGCGTGCGCGCGCATGCGCGCGCGAGTGTGTGTGCACAGTGCAAAGTGACAAGCTCCAGGTGTGATCTCCCAGGGCTGGTGCTGGGTTTTTCCACAAGCAGGCTCAGCTGGGGCGTGTTCTGCCCGGGGTGTGAGTCAGCACACAAGTAGTTAAGTCGGCAGCCGGGCTCCCCGGGCTAACGCAGTGGCCTCGGGGACTTAGCATGCAGCACCGCTCAGCAGAGCCGGGTCCTGGCGCTCCCCAGGAGGACTGACATGCTGCCTGGAACAAACAACAGCAGGTCTAGGTACGTAGCCGGGCTTTGATGGATGGTGTTTTGCTCTCTCCCCAGAGGACAGAGCAACGGTGCTTCGTGGTTGCCACCAGAATCCGGTGTTTATTGAGCCTCCTGTTTCTTGGGGGAAAATGAGTCATAGGGATGGGGGAGGGGAGGGGAGCAGCCTCTTCAGCCTCATTTATGTTTCCCTGGCCGTGGCCCTGCCAGGTTTCCTTAATTCCGTCTGCATTCCAGGGCTGGGAGTTCAGGTCATTTGAATGTCAGCATTAGAGGTGGGGAGGTCAAAGGGGCTCTTTTTGCTTTCTTTCTGTCAATCTTCAGATCTACATTCAGGGATAGGGATTTGGTTTGAAGAGTTATTTGCTGAGTTGGTGAAGTCGAGTGGCAGAAACTCATTTTCCTAGCCATTTTGAACGGCAAGGTTCATATTAGCAGTCTTAAGAAGCAAACTTCTCTGAATTTACCCCATGCCTGAGTGAGAGCATGTTTTCAGAGGTGGTCTTTGCCTTGCTTACAGCCTGAAAACTGCCGCTTCAGGTGTCTGCAGTGTGACCTGAGATCACTTTGAGGATCCCAGTTCTTGTAATGAGTCTACTTGACTGGGTCGCCCTGGTCTTCCCATCCCTTTAGATGACTCTATTCTATCGCTCACAAAATAGCTGGAATTCTGAGTAGATGGGAACTACCCTCAAAAACTTGGTTTGGATGGAATTTCCAAGGATATAGGGACTTAGGCAACATTTGGATCTCATTCCATCTCCAATTTTTTTTTTAAGAGGTGGGGGTGGGGCAGAGGAAGAGGGAGAGAGAGAGAGAGAGAGAGAGAATCCTAAGCTGGGTGTGGAGCCTGACACGGGGCTGTATCCCATGACCCTCAGATCATGACCCGAGCCAAAATCAAGGATCGGAAGCTTAACCAACTGAGCCACCCAGCTGCCATCCTCCCCCATTTTTTTTAACTAGATTACCAGTTTATTATAAAAGGATATAATTCAGGAACAGACAGATACAGGTATGGAGAAGGGGCGCAGAGCCTCGCTGCCCTCTCCAGGGTCACCACTCCCCCAAATCTCCACGTGTTTACCAACCTAGAAGCTCTGCAAACCCCATCCTTTTGGGTTTTTATGAAGGCTTCATTACAGAGGCATGATTGATTGAGTCCTCATTCCACGTCTGTTCTGTCACTGTGGCATCAGCCACCAATAACTGACATCGATGACTTTGATGATCAGGCTGATATGTTCACTGCATCAGGAGTCAACAGATGTGAGTTCAAATCCCCTGTCTGCGACGCATTAGCTCATCGAACTTCCTTGAGCCTCATTTGCTTTGTTTGTAAAATTGGGATCGGTGTGTAAGTATCTGGAATGGCTCTGGTACTCCAGAGAGACATAGGATAGGCTCTGACACCAGATTTAGTGGAGAGATACACACTCATTAAATAGTAAGTACCAGCCTGGAAGACTGTATACAGCTTCGGAGGAAGAAATGGGGTCAGCCATTTACTGTATGTGGGGGATCGCTGTTCTGAGAGCATCTTTTCAGCCCTCTGCAGTTTTCACGGCAATATCACACACTCTACTGGCTTCACAATCCTGTAAACTAGGAGGATGAGGAGAGGCATGCCATCATGCCCAGCCCCATCACCTTTACCAAAAGGAAATCTTTAGTGCTGTGAGGTGACCCACCTGGAAACCTTGCCTCATTGGTTAAAGCAGAGATGCCAGGAGCTGGCTCTGAATGCTCTTCCAAATAGGCACCTTTCCAAAGCCTTTCTGCAGTGAGAACTTTGGCAGTCTCTTCCTTTTCCTTGCAGAGAAAGAAGTCCCTACTTCTCTGCTGAGACCGCTACAAGGTCGAGCGTAGGTGAGAAAAATGGAGAGCTTACCAAATCTCTAGTGCAAATACACTGTTGGGAGAGAGAGGGAGGAAACCAAGCTAATCTGGACCACTTCTCAGGGCAGGCAACGGAAGTTCTACTAGCACCGAGGTGGAATGGGTGTTTTGGAAAAAATGGTAATAAAAACTTAGACTTGGTGAATTACCCGGTCTTAGGATCAAGACTGTTAAGCAGGAGATGGAGAACCACCTCATATCACTAGATTTGAATGTCAAGGATCACCTGACAGGGAAGGAACTTTGATACCCAGACTTCCTGAAGCAAGGGACCCTTTTGGCTGTGACTCTAAGTTGTCCCACCCCACCTATTTTCCCGTTCAGCATGCGGGAATTTGTCCCAAATTTCTCCAGAAGAGTGGAGTCCAATTACCCTTGTATCCATGGTCATGAAGCTTCTCCTCACACCTTACTGAGGACAGCTTTAGTGACATTAAAACACTTGAGAAGGGGACAATGTGGTCAGCAGGTAGTCATCCACCACTAGATTATGGCAGCCATTGAAACCACTAGAGGGCAGCGCAGAGACTCGTACTGGTGACCATGGGGGGTGGGTGGCCGGGGGTGGTGGTGGTGGTGAATTTTAATGTATGCTAATGAGCTTCTTAGGATTCTGCCAAGAAATGAGGTCCCTCAGGGCCCCAGAGAATCTCCGGGGACTGTTTTCCTTATTGTTGTTATTGCTATCCACATTCCCTGATTGCTCTTGAAGACGGGCTTGGTCTGGGAAGAGCAGCTAACAAAAAGATACACATCAAAGCGTATCTATGATTATTTATGATACAAAACAAAGCGGTGTGTACCAGCTGGATGTGGTTTCCACCGCCACCTAGAATATCCAGTCTCAATTCCTGCTCCCCATTGCCTCCCTGGCTCCAAGCATGACACAGTTCTCTTAGATTATACTTAAATGTCTCATCGGCGGCTGGAGAGATATTTGGCCCAGTGACAATGGGGTGTTAAGGAAAGTTCAGCCAGTTGCGTAGAGACTGCCCAACCTCGCTTTTCAGTGACTTCTTTGGTGGCTTGAAATCAACCATGGTGAGAGTATTTACATCACAGAAATTGGCAAATGGTACACACCCGGGCTTTTTATTCCTGGAGAGCCGGTTGTTAAACGTTTAGCAACACGCCACTGCCAATGTTTGTCGCAGAAAAATCTTTGATAAAGAAATGATGTGCTGGTTTAAGGCATTAGGAGAAAAAAAACAAACAAAAAACAGGGAATGCTACTACCTTCCGAAATGCTCTGACCCCTGAACTATGTTAATTGAATCACATAATGCCATCTTTGTTACCCTACTTACAAGAGGAAGGATTTATAAGGAAATCTTTGCAGCTGAAGTGTAAGAGTTAAGTGTAATCCGTTTCCAGCTCATTTACCATTTGGGGTTAATACAAGTAGAAATAAGAAGTTTTCCAAGCCCTAATGTAGAAGATCATTTGTTGAAGTTCATCTCCCTAACTTCATATCCATGGAGCCTGGGTATGACCGGCACTCCACACTGCTGAACTCTATGGCCAGGCTGACTTCAGATCTCAGAGAGTGGGGAAGCTGCTGAGAACTTCCTTTATAGGGGCATTCATTCATTGATAGATCCTTAAAGTTTTTCCTCTGGTCATGCTAAACCAAAGGAAATTTTCCTTTTAGAAGATGAGAACTTCCCATGCATGATACTACCATAAAAGAGGAATTATTCGTTAGCACTTAATAGGTGTCTATACTAAAAAAAGAAATAAAGGGCATTGTGAAGCAATCAGATTTAGTCATTAAGTACACCTGATTCTCAGTGAATCCTCACAACCACGGGAAGAGATGGCTACAAGTATAATCGCCAATTTAAGATGAGGAAATTGATGCATCAATGCATTTGGTGAGGGCATTGCTGGGATATGAACTCAAGAGATCTTAATCAAGAACCCATCCTCGTAAGCCACCCTTCTTTAGCATCTCCCTGCAAGATGGGTGACTAGAAATTGAGCTCCTCTCCTCTGAACGTGAGCCCCTACTTTTGTCGCACAGATCTCATAATTTGAGCAAGTTTACTACGTTTTATGAAGCCAGGACTCCGTTCAGACGCAAAGTGGAGGTTGAAGGACGGAGCCAGGAAGTTCAAGGTTCAACAGGTGCAGCCATGGCCAGTACCCAGAAGTCATTCTTTCCAACCTTTCCTTAGGCGAAAGAAAAACAAAACTCTTACGAGCCGACTTTTCACCTCTCCTCCTCTTCTGGGTTCCACTAGGAATCGTGAGCAATGTTGTAACATTCTTAGAAGAAACCAGAAGTGTGTTTCTCTCCCACACACCCTCTTCCAGTGTTGCTGGAATCTTGGAAGTAAGGCAACATTCATGACGTTTCTGTTTTGTGTTGTAGTTGCAAGTGTTAGCCTCAGCCCTCACCCTGATGCTTTTGCGCCTGATGTTTATACCCATGTCTCAGACTGAATCCATTTTCTTCTCCACTGCACAGTTGGTTTACCCAACTTTCTTCTTCCGGTGTGGCACCACAAGTCTCTCCCAACCCTAGAACACTGGAGTGATGTTTGATTTCCCCTCTTCTTCTTCTTTTCCCACCTTGACCAATCCAAGTGGCAAATCCTAGGGGGATAACCCACACTTCTTTAATGTAGTTCTCCATTCTCTATTTCCACTGCCAACCCCAGAATACCACCTTGGCTCTGCTTCCCTCCCAAATGGGGTCTCCCCTCTTAAATGGCTGCCTGTCTCCAGCCCCACGGTGCCATCAGGTTCCAATTTGCTTATCAGCTCCATCCTCTACAGCATTAGAGCACTAAGCAAGGACAGATCTGGAGTGTCCCAAGAAGAAGTCCTTTGGTCGGTTAGCGATGTCGGCTATGACCGGGGGATGAGAAAGGAGCATCCTCTTTGAGCCTCACCCTGCTCATTTCACTCCATTTTCTTGGTGAATATTGGCAATATGCAGCTCTGTTTATGTTTTTACCTACTCAAAAACATTCAGGGACCCTTTCTTGCATTCACTAAGTTAAGATTCCTCAACCTGGCATTTTATTTATTTATTTATTTTTAAAGATTTTATTTATTTGAGAAGAGAGAGAGAGTGAGCATGAGTGGGGAGGGGCTGGGGGTCAGGG